GTGCCAAACCAGCCCCTGACGCGCCCCAGCGTCTACAGCTAAAGTGACTGCTTTACGATCGCCTACCATGCATATTTTAGAAGGGTCGGAATTGGAGGGAACAATCCAGGAGGCGACTTCTGGAGTAAAATTCCGGAGATCGAGTGTGAAGGTTCTGTGAATTTCAGTTTAGCTTTATTAGACAATTTTTGTAATCTGATCGTGTGTCAGAATCGTAGAATCGTTTCAGAAGGAAGAGAAGATTTGGCGAAAATCAGCTGCTCAGCCTCATTGGGAACTTTGGTTGCTCTCACTTGGGACGGGCGATTATTTCTTAGAGTCGGAATAACAAAAGGTATTTCCACTGGCATTAGAAAGAGCGACACTTATGAAATTGTTTTGTAGAACATGTAATGATGTGCCAAATCTCGATTTAATGTGACTTTTTCACTATTCCGCGCTTTCTTTTCTTTTTCCGGAGTGGCTGAGAATGAGTTCATACTTTGCGTCAGTTTTCTGAGCGACTAGTAAAGCACAGGTGTTGATCTAGCTTTCTGAGCGTGCGCTGCTGTACGCTGGCGCTGGAAACGTTATCGTGTGCTTAAAATATTGGCGCTGTGTATGAGTCCGTTCTGCGGGAGATGTGGAACTGCTTGTTGTAGATGACGTTTTTCGTTATAGATACTCCAAATGGTACCGACTGGTGTTCACTTCTCACTCCGCGAAATCTTCCGCTTGCTTTTATCGCTTTAGGAACCAAAGTCATGTGGGTGATCTCTGTAGATGGCAAGGTGAGCTCTGTTAACTATCTTTTCGCTCAGAACCTTCTCAAATTCAAGCCAGTGGCTCTACCTCCTTCCGGTCATCTTCTGTTATTTGAAGACAGTCCCTGCACTCAAGCAGTTCGTCCTCCCTTGGACACTTAGTTTGGTCTTCGCACTTTCGTGGTTTCGCAGTAAGCAATGAAGATGCTGCGGCCTTCAAAAGTGACAGTTCTGACGCATTCCTCATTGTCCCGTCCATGGAGACTGAAAGGCTTCCCCCAGCCGCGAGTTCAATTCTGACAAAGGGCTTTTGTTTTTTTTTCACTATTGAGTGGTATTAGCATTTCATGACGCGAAGAAATGACTAGTGAGCCAGAGGTTACAGTATATCGCTCTGCTGGCACAAAAGAGGAGATCCGCGTAACTCGTCCAGGAGACAGCCAGGTCCTTATATGGGGTGTGGTTGCCACTTGTCTGCAGTTTGATTGTGATCTTGATGTTTCTCTTATTCGGAGCAGCTTTGCTCCTTAATGCCTTTTGTTTTTAGGTGGGCATCCCTAAAACTTTGCAACTTCGTTCAGCGACGTCGTTAGCAGAAACGTAGTTGACCTCCAAAGATACATTAGCCATAAATATCTCATTTCATTAGCTATACAGGGGGGGGGGGCAAAAAAGTCACTTCGACCGAGTCACATATCAGCAAAGTTTTCGCTGCCCAGACAGAGGACGTGGATACGAGTACCAGGGCGGAAGATACCCAAGATGTTCCTCTATAAGCAGGAGCTGGCGCCCATCACC